CTGGAGAGACCAATTTCATTCAGTCCTGCGAGGTGAAACCGAGCACACTACTGGGTCATTCCTTATTAAGACCGCAGCGCACACTCGCATGAGCAAATGCCTTGCTTGTCGCCCTTTGCAGACAGCTTAGGTTTCATATTGTCCAGATTGAGAAGCTGGTTTTTAGAGTGGGAGTGCTGGAAGGAATGCTGCCGTAAGCAATGCAGGGAGCAAAGTGTTCACGTCTTAGCAGAGGGGATAGTTTTTAGGATACGTAGCTGATATTCCATCCTCAAACCCTCAAGATTCAAACTGAAATTTGCTGGTTCCCTGCTCACTGGAAATCCATGTGAGGTAAAGAGCAGGCTGAAAAGAAACACAGTAAGCATGTTTCAGAATTAGCAATTTTTGAGTGGACTTGTTGGGACATTTAGAAAGCTGGCACTTTTGGCTTTGTCTGCCAGAGCACTTAGGTTCAAAGCAATGAACGGTATGGTTTTCACAACCAGCAAATCTCCTCATCGTCCCCACCCACCACTTGTTGGTTGAGTTACAGGGTGGTTTTGGTTCATGCAAACTTCATTCCTTTTGCATAAAAGTAAACCAGAAGCTGTGCTCCAGTTGTGCAACGCTGGCACTGCATCCTTTAATGGGAGCATAGGGCCCAAACCAAAGGCAGCTTTGAGCCATATCCCTGGTACAGACACTCGTCCTGGGGGACCTGACTACAATCTAGTCCTAAATCCTACCCCCTCACTCCAGCTACATGTGGTGTACACATCCTAAATGCTTCAATCATTTGAACCATTCCCATTGTGCCAGATAACTCAGTAATGTAGAAATTGCCCATCTTAAGCTAGGAAAGAAGAATGGTGGGGAGTCTGAGGGACTGTCTTTTGTTTTTCTGATTAAAAAAAAAAAGCGAGGGAGGAGGAAGAAAGAGCAGACATAAAACATAGCCGTTATCCACATGGAAAGATTAAATGGAACAAGAGTACCAGAGGAAAGGCCCAGAGTGTGACAGATCAAAAGAGCAAGGCCTCTGGCTGTTACGGTAAAGAATGTCCTAGTTCTTGAGAACATATTTATATGTGTCTGCTGGATTTTTTTTTTAATGAAATAGTTTTATTCAAAGAAAGGTCTGTTTCTACCACACGGACTGTTTGAGGGGGGAAATAGTGGGTGAAAATCTAACTTTCACAGCCAGTCCTATAAGGAACGTTTTGTGCGAATGAGAACGGGGTCCATTATTTTAAATTAAAAAAAAACTTTATTGGAGGGCTGGGGGAAATAGGGGTTGTCAGCATTTTTTGCTCTGGGTTGGCAGCTCCTGCACAGCTCGGTGTGTTGCTTGGCTGTGCCGTAGATCTGCTTGTGCAGACACGCATGTGGTGGCCCACGGATGGATGAAGTTCAGCTCTCGCTGAGCTTCAGCCAAAGTGCGCGGAGGGCTAGGGAGTCAAATGTTCTCGTAGCCAGGCAGAACACTACAGCCGTGTTTCAGGCTGTGTGCAAATACCCGCTGCAGAAGCGGCTGCTCTGCGATGGGTTTTGTCTCTCCCCGGGCTGGAAGGTACTTGCCCCACAGTGTACGTTGGGAGCAGCTCACGTGAACGCTCCCCGTGTGTTCTGCTGCAAACTTGGCCATTTTAGGGCAGAAATTACGTCCTCGCAGGGAAACTCCTGGCTGTCTCATCCTGCATACCTGCAGGGATCTCTTCTTAGATACCATCGTGTTCCTGAATACAGAGTCAGTAAAATGGCAGGAGCTTACACATGGAGCTTTTTAGGACCTTACAATGTGCAGGTGGTAGAGAAATACATGTCTGGTGGGGTTGGCTCTACTTGCCTAAGTCAGTTTTATGGGAGTAACTTGTTGAGTTGAGGAACTATTCCTGATTTTTCCTTGCTGTTTGTGCGAGTTAAACAGGGTGCAGTAGGAGCTGCGTGGATGCCACGGCATCTGCTGGGAGCAGATCAGGTAAGAGTACCCCCAGCGTTCCCACTCCCACCACTTCCTTGCGGGGTGTGCAGTAAGCTGCCTTTCCAGTTACTTCTCCAGCAAGCAACAGCAATTAAGAATTAAAACTCAAGACTGGCAAATTGGCTCGGAAGCAGTAGCGGAGGAACCGAATGGATCCCTACAAACCTACTGGAAATAAATGGGGAGATTCCTGGTCAGTGGGAGTTCTGGCTAACAAAGGTTGGTTCTTGGTCCTTTGTCTTCCAGGGTGTTCAGTGGGGCTCTGAGAGACCACTGGAAGGAAGAGATCTTGGCAAAAAAATCTCATTTCTTTTTGCTGTATTGTAGACCTCTCCCTACCCCCCCATTGGTAAAGGGTAATATTGATTAGCAAGAAAATCACCGTATTTTTGTGGAGAAAAAAACGCTTCTGTCAGTCTTCTGTGTGAATACAGAAATAAAAGACATTGTTGGCACAAGAATAAATGGGTATATAAAAGGTTTTGTATACATTTAATTAGGAAAGTGGAGGGAGGAAAGTGTGTACATTAATTTAGGTTTTAAACAGCAGCAAGTGCTGAGACAATTTGGGAGGTGATACACGGTGTCACTCGAATTCAGTGCCAAGCACACTCCCTTTTCGATCCTGTCAATTCGTAACTGTCTTGTCTCCATTGTTATTTTAACATGAGAGAGCAAGCCTGTTTAGATCCCCCCTCCTTTTTTCCTCTCTAGTGAATACCTAATCATCAAACTGATTTTTGACTGGGTCTTGACTGCGAGACTCACTGGCCTAATTTTGCTTCCTAACAGTAATAGCAGTAGCTGGTGATATATTTATTTTTTTTTAAATCTGAGACGTACAGGATGTTCAGACATGCAGATGGCAGATGTATTTTGGGTTAATTGACTAATAGTCATCTAAGACCCACGGCTTCTCCTCGAGATTAACATACGGAGCGATAGGTCAAAAAGCCTAAGGTCCATTACCCTGCGAGATAATGATACCCCCACAATTAATTTCAGGTTCACGATTGCATCATCCTGAATTGAGGTGAAATCGGGGATTTTTCATTTTCCTTTCCCTCCAGCAGAGTTTGAGTGGCGCAACTTCTGGCACGGGTGTGCGGAGCCCGGTGCCACGGCCAAGTCGAATCCTTTTCTTTGTTCTCCGGGCCTGCTGCTGCTGATAAAGTGGTCGGCGCATGGCATTATGTCTTATTACATTTTTGATGCAGACTGCAAAGAAACGGGTAAACTCACCATGGTTACCACGATCTGTCATTTGGCAGGGCACGCCGTACTCAGCGATGGCCTCTAGTGTCTGCAGCACAGCTCTGCATACGCCTGGGTACGGGAGACAATACAGCACCCCTGGCTGCGAAGCGGCACCCGCCACCGAGCTGACTGCTGATTCCCGTCGGCAGCGATGCTCAGACTCCAGCGGCAGGTCCTTACTCATCGCTGCCTGGTCAAAGTTCTCCTCGTTTCTTTTCGTAGTTCTGTGCTGATTGAGTCATTCCCTGGCTTCGTGCTCCCGTGCCGAGGCCGGCTCCTGTCCACTGCAGCGCCTTGTGTCCGCCAAGCTTGGGTTGGCCCCGGATTCACTGCTTTGTTTTGCCACCTCGTGTTTCTTGTAGGGCTTTCTCTCTTACCTCGACGTGCCCTGCGGTGTTATTTCATACAGATGAAGCACGTGTAGTTGTTTCAATCAGTGTGACCTGAAACAATTACCATCGATACTGGCATTAACTGGTAGGGTGGTGGAAAATGGTCTTGGGTGACCAGGCTCGGGCATCCCGATTTACCCACTCAGCAAAACAAAAACCAAGTCCCTGCCTTGGTTCAGAACCAGTTTGGAGCTCCCAGGGCTTGTGTGCATGATGGGTGACTGCCTGCAGGAACAGCTTAGGAACAAGTCCTTACAGGATGGGTCTTTTGTTTTATTGTACGTGAGGAAAAATCGCTTAAGTCTTTCTTTACTTAATCGAGGTAATTAAACCTTCCTACTGTATAGCACAAAGGGTTCGTTAAGGTTTTTGGAGCATTTTGAAATCTTTGGAGGAAAGATGCGGTTTGCTGTTGTGCCGTGTTTGATAAGTGTTGAAATTCAGTCATCTGGACGTGAAATACTGGCTGAGTTGTAAGTACAGAAATCTTGCAATTGTGCATGCATTTCGAGCTGATAATGTGAAGAACTGATTGAGAGCAGAGCTGGCATCCGTGCTGTTTCTTCACAGTGCAGGAGCCGTACTCCATGGGTGTGTTTAGTTTTTTTTACCATGCTTCAGCAAAATGTGACAATTAGCTCCACGTGAGACTGTAGTAACAGAAACGCACACTGTAAAGCCAGAAAATTTAGCTTAGTTAAAGACAGAGAAACCGTCCTTTTTTTTTTAAGTTGACCTAGTGACCAGCCCAGTTTACCTTCGTTAGGATTTCATGTCTAGTTGAAATTAAGAACATGCTCTCTTCTCCTAACAAAGACACCACCACAGTGATATCCTGTGATTAATTCTGAAGTGGAAAGAGACTTCCCAACTGAGGAGGAGAGTCTGTTCAGCAGTGCTTTTCACAAACTACTGGCTTTCTGTTTCTTTTTGTAGTGAGGGGAAACAGGGAATGAAATCACTTGCAACTTTTAAACAAAGCTAGTGATTTACATAGTTCTGAGCCCCAGTGACTTTTGGCATCAGTTTAATTTAGATTCAAATGAAGGCTGGTGAATAAGATCTGTTCCTCCTGGGGAAGGCAGTTGGGAATTTGCAGCAAGGAAGTTTGTAAGAGGGGAGATTTTTTCCGACAGCAGGCAGGCTGTGTCTGTGCCTGCAGGCGAAGACAGCAGCATCAGTGGATGCAGGGGCGCTTAGCTGCAAGAGTGAAAAAGAGCAGCAGCTAGGTCGAACATCGCCTTCGTTCTGAGTGCGCAGCCTATAACCAGCAGGTCCCCTAAAGCAGTTGTAAAAGGGGCAGCATAATTAAGGCCTTCAAGAAAAATCTAAAGGTTGCTTCTCAACCCCAGATTCTTCCCGTTGCGGGGTGGAGAGGCGTTTTGATTCCTCATTTCTGGAGCAGCTCGCCAATGATCACATCTGAGTCTGCTTCTTTAACTCTTAGCTGAGTCACAACCCTGTATGCATATACATATTTTTCTATAACACTAGAAAAAGTAACCATAACCCAAAGAGATGTTATTTTTCCTTAGGTTTACTTACGCCGCCCTGTTTGACTTGCTAAAAATGTTTGATATCACACAAAGAGGAATAACGCTAGTGCTCTTCACCTCCGATGTCACTAAATGAGCAGCAGATCCCATGTACCTCAACCGACTGTTCTCTATGAATAGTTTTGGCATCGGCTGAAAATAGTGCTGAGGGTAACTTGCGTTGACCATGTGATGACACTTTGAGTTGCAAAATTGCTTTCAGATAACTTGCACCGAAAAAGTAAAAATAGCCCAGTACGTTAGACTCATCTCTGTGGAATGTATATATGCAAAAATAGGGCTCCTTAATATTTGGTTTGTCGCGGCAGAACAACCTGTCATGTTACACCGTTTCACTCTTAGGCAAACAATTTGGGCTGATAATGTTGCAGGCTGTGCTATTTTCAAATGTAAAGCAAACGTTGGGGAAGCGTTCATTTAACTGTTCTCTTCCTAGGGAATAGTGTGGCTCTGGCATGGCGTTAGTCGGCTTAGACAAAGGTGAGAGGTTACGGCTTTAGAAAAGTGAAAAGCTACCTCAAGTGTGTCCCGATGTAACCGTTTAATCCATCGTTAGATAATAACAGATTTTTTTTCTCTTCTTCTCTACAGCTGGGAGCGTTCACTCTCCCTCCACAAGTATGGCAACGTCTGCGCAATACAGACAGCTTATAAACGACTACGGACCCCCGTCCCTAGGGTATACACAAGGGATGCAGGTACAGCTCTGCTTGTTTTGCTTTAACCAGGTCTCCGACCCTACGTCTGCATGGTTTGCGTGGCTTGTGGCCTGTAATCTGAGGTGTTCCTCCCTCCCACCAAGGTTTGAAATCAAACCCAAATGGCAGACTGATTCATCGCACATGTCTTGGGATCAAATTAGACTAAGCAGAGTGCTGAGTGAGATTAGTTACTAATTAACTGTTAGTCCCTTCTGAGTCACAGTGAACCGTGTCTTGAGTTATGTTCTGCTAGGAAGGGCTGTGACATTTTAAAAAATTATTTGTTCGAAAAGTGATATTCCTACACCTTTAACTGTTTTCCTTGGGCAAACTGATAACGTAAGATTTACAGTCTCATGAAGTGCGTGTTACAGACATTCCTATGGGCAGCTTCAGGAATCCAGCTGGTTTTTCTGTGAAATTTGTTAACCACTTTACAGGATGCCCCTTATCATATGGACAGTTTTATCTACACCTCACTCTCCCTACCTGGCTAGCTCCTCCACAGAACATACATCTGAACATTGATAAAAGCAGAGACGGGGTTAAACAAGTAGTTCTGTTTGCTGTTTTTGTAGAACTGATTTAACTTCTGTTTCACGTAAGGTTCCAATCTTGTAGTTGCATCCTCCCAGTTAAGCCTGATTTTGGAAGGGCATGTAGCATTTTGTCCAACTGTAGCAGGAAGGGCAAAAAGAAAATAATGTTTATGTAACAAATAGGAAATTTTATTAAAAAAAAAAAAAAGTGGCTTCCAGGGCTATTTCTGGTCCTCTGTGAATTTCCAGTTGCTGTCTGTTCTTATTGTTTTGTTTTTAGCAGCGTTTAATTGAGATCAATCTACTTTCAACTACAGGGTACCAGCAGCAGTCAAGTACCGCAAAGCAAATATGCAGAACTTCTAGCTATCATAGAAGAGTTAGGAAAAGAGATCAGACCCACGTACGCTGGGAGTAAAAGCGCGATGGAGAGGCTAAAACGAGGTAAGGTTTGATTTTTTTTTTAAATGTCCCATACTCTTTGTGTGCTGACTGCTTATATACAGCTTCGTGACAGTGCTTCCCCTTGAAAGCAGACAGCTGTCTGAGGCTTGTTAGTAAACGAGGTGTATTAACGAGTAACTGAAACTTTGGTATACTCTGTTCTTGTTGGATTTGATAGATAAACTAGTGGCCAAATGTGTTTCATGGGCACAAGGGGATTTTCAGTTAATAGTTTGAAGTTAATTTAGAACCCTTATGTTGTCAGTTGGAGGTGTTCTGCCAGGTTCCTAGTCACTTGCTTGCTCCTTCAACTGCCTTTTCTCCCTATCCTCAGAAATATGCAGCCAAGTTCACTCCTCTCATAAACATCACCCACCTACTTGACCCAAGACCCTTTACTGAAGTGCATTTTGATTAGAGAAATACGCAGTGAATTACACGGTGGTAAATCACTAAGGCTGCTGGAGAGAGAGAGACAGGCAAAACAAGGTGGTTTTATCAGCGAAAGCTGTTCAGACCAAGATGTCAAACATACGTGTTCTTGCTCTCCGTGGAGCGTCGGGCTGCTTAGGCTCCATTACCTGCTTCAAGTGGATGTCATTAGCAGTCCGCTCGGAAGGGACGCAGAAGCTTTTAGGCCTGGCTGATGAGGTCTCTTTAGCTTTGCTTAGTCAGCTAAAAGGGGTCAGAGAAATGCCCTTTCCTCGCAGTGTAAAAGAAACCCCCACATTCCCCACTGCTGACATCAGCTTGACATTGTCCCCTGCAGGGGACGTGCAAGGGATATTTCTGAAGGAGCAGTGGGACATTCCGCTGCTCCAGCTCCTGGAGTGACCCTGAATGCCACCTAACAATGGTTGCGCTGGCAGCTCTGTCCTTTGCCAGTATACGGAGTTACCTTTTCCTCCCTTTCCTTGGTCCTTGTGCTGAGTTTGGCTCATTCATTCGAACCTGAACGGGAATGTTATTGTAACAGACTAACTTCACCACCTCGCAAATCCCCCTTACCTTCACTCAAGACTACAAAGCTTTATTTAAGGCTCAACCATTACGGGAGAGTAATATATCTGCCGTGACATGCAATAAAATGACTAGTAGCTGTTCTGGGAAAGGATGCAATAAAGTCTGCTGATGAGTGGTAAGTGGAATCTGGCCCAGCTAAAATCAATGTTGCTGGAGTCTCTCTTTATTGCATCGCCTGAGTCAGTATTAATAGATCATGAATGGCAATAGGCTAACAGGGACAACCTGAGAGGGATCGGGAGAGAGGCAGACGTTCTTTGAACATAACGGTTCGGTTAGTTGAGACAAAGCTGTTTTGCTCCTTCCTGCAGCGAGGATTTACTTAGCTAATGTAGGTTTAAGATTCAGTGCTGCCACTGTGACTGACTTGCAAATGTTGCAGAAAATCCAAAATAAGTACTTTCTGCTGCCATCTTTTGGTCACAGACATACCTCTCTTTGCATTTTGGGAGCCATATGGCTGAAGGAGCATGGGCAAGTGTGAGAGTAGAAATGATTGAGAGTAACCATGTGACTGCAGCCTCCATGGCCATGTGGAGGTTATTGCTGAATAAAGTCCCTGTCCCCAGCTCCACCTGCTTCTAAGCACAAAGGCTGCTGACCTCTAAAATTGGCCAAATTCCCAGTGTTCTACATAATTCAGGGTAGTTCTGCTGCATAAACTGGGCGTCCTGCCACCCGATCCAGGCCCAGTATACTGGTTTCAGTGTGCATTTCTGCCTCCCACAGCTGCGGGATGCAGCTTTACTTGTCTGTGTCGATTTAACCCTCTGCAAAGCCTGGCACGTATCAAGTCCCAAATCACTGCTCCTTGAATGTAGAGGCTGCTCTGGGCTAGCAGCCTTCTAGAGACAGAATCTATTACCTCTAAGTAGAGATTAAACTTCATCTATTGCCTTATTGTCATTTGTCCACCCTTGTTAAGGAGCACGAATGAGCAGAGAAATCACCCATCTTTTCCTGACGTGAAAACATAACCTTGTTGGAGAGAAATCTGTCTGTCTCCTATTATAAAATCTAACTCGAGCTCTACTCTTTGGGCAGCTCTGTGAACATGAACCTAGATTCAGATCCAGGATTAAGACTCAAGGTCCAGATTGCTGGAACTCAAGGCAACAGGACTCTTAGTGGAAAATTCCACATTATGTCTACCAGATTAGAGTAGATACGGCAGCATGTAAAGCAACGATGATTTACACTGGGAGCTGAGCCAGTGTTAGGAGGTGACATAAAAGTATAAAAGCATAAAAAATATCCTCCTATATTTACAAAAGATGCAACTTGTGTTTAGGCAACTTTTTGAAGGCTTGGATTTTGATGCATCCACTTGGAAAATTATTCCAAGGTATTAATTCAGACTTTTAGACCTTGCTAAAATAACTTTGGATTTTTTTCACCCCCTTGTAGCAAAATAACTGACAGGTTGGTAAGATTTATTTTTTTCTAATTAAGTCCCTGATTGTAAATAGACCTGCACTGCATGTTAAGCTATACTTCTCACTGCAGACCTGCAGAGCTCATAATGCTCTGACTGCTGGTTTGGGCTATTTTCAATTTATAATGCCAGTTTGGGAAAGCAAACTTCTTTAGCAGTGGCTGTTGTTAGGTAAGTGAAGGATCTCTCCCTTTTCTCTGGCAAGCTGTGGTAGCCTTAGCAACTCAGGACAGAAATACATAAACCTTTCTGTGGACTGTCATTGCAAGTGTCACCTTAATGAGATCATTTAAAATATGTCCAATTCTTTTGCAGGCATTATTCATGCTAGAGGATTAGTTCGGGAATGCTTGGCTGAGACTGAGCGAAACGCAAGATCCTAGCCCACCAATGCAGTTGCAAGATTTTCCATCTCTTAATGAAGAAAAAGTAATACCTATTCCTTTTGACTCTTGAAACGTTCAGACAAATTCCTTTATTTTGAATGTTTTATCTTTCTTTTTTTTGCCCTTACAAAAATGTATAGTTAAGAATGATAAAACAAGGATTTTTCAACTTACTGAGGGTTTGCATTTTGTAAAGACATTAAAACTCCCTAAAATGTTTCTAAAACATGAAAACTGAACTGCATGCAGAGGAATGCTCTCTCTCCCAGGCTATATTTCAGTTCTCTTTTTATCCAGTCACAGTCCCATTCTGTTTATTTTAATTTTCACTATATTCACTTAACCCCAAATGGTCAATCTTTCAAAGTTTGACATAAGCTCTAAGGATTTTTTTTAATAAATGCAGAATAGCATGCTGTACCTAGTAGTCTGCTATGTCACAATTTGTCATACAGCATAGACCCTGCTTAGAAATAACCTTCCCCTCCTCTTACTTTTCCTTTTTTGTTCGTTTTGCATAAACATTTGCATGACTGTTAGTGCTTTGAAGTCCATTTAAAGTGCATGAGTTATATGGAAAATAGGGAAACCTATTAAATAATAACAACGTCCTGAAAGCTAATTTCTACATTAAGGCTGGAGATTTCAGTTTGTTTGACAAAAAAAAAAGAAAATTCTGGATAAAGTACTAAAACTGTTATTTGCATCTTTGTATGTATTTATTACTTGATGTAATAAAGCTTATTTTCATTAACAATTTGTATTAAAAGTATCTACAGTCACTTTAATCAGATCCATACTCTACGTACGAGAAGCAAAGGCTTAACCTTCATGCAGGAGGCTCAAATTCAGGACAAGGGAACGGGCCTGCGGATTGCTGGGGAGTTTCCCTTGATGCAGGTCGATCTCTCTAAGCAGGTGGTACAGCTGCTAGTAGCGTACCTTGCTTTCAAAATACGTATAACAGCTTTGGTTCTTGAAGCTCTCTCCCTTCATCGCTGAAAGTCAGAACGCAGTGGCAGTCTGTGAGGGTTCTGTCCGAAAACTAAAGAGAAGCTCTAGTTAAGCAATTAGCATTTTAACAGTATTAAAATAGGAAAGTATACTTCACTAGTGGCTCCAAATTAACAGTAACAAAGGAAAAGCAGCTGCATAAAATGGGTAACTATCAAAATGAGTGAAGTTACAGAAATACCCAAGCTTAACTGCAGCATAGCATAAACAGAACTGTAGTTCACTACAGTACAACCAAATCTAAATCCTAGGGAAGACAGGATACCTGGGATATCTAATACATATGGAGCTACGGATCCCTGAAAAGAATATAGCATTAAGAAGAAAAGTTAATTGCTTCACAGCTTGGACGAACTGGACTCTGTTGCCTTGGCAGGCAGCTTCCAATGCACATTGTTCTTTACCTCTAATGACCTAATTCTGCCTCTGAAGCGGAAGAAAATGTCTGACGAGCCCTCACTTGCAGGACCACCTTCCCCGGCTCCCCAGCAATGCTCACCACCACTCTAGGTAAGCGTAAAGGTAATGTTTAGAATTCTTTCAGAATTGAGAGGGATGGAGCATCTGTGCAGGCAGTTAAGCTAACAGATCTGAAGGAGACAGCCTGTGACTGGTGGCTCTTTGTATCAGTGCATCTGTTTCCGTCATCAGGACCAATAGCACAAAGCAACTTTTCTTTTCTCATCTAAACCTGGCCACTGTTTCTGAAGGATTTCTATCAGTGGAGGCATTGTCTGAATAAGGATGGAAAGACCTTTAAGGTCTGTTCTCCTTATTTACTGGAACTCCTATGAAACAGCCTAAATTATCATATCAGGCAGAAGGATCTGCTTGCTTTATCATCTTTTGAACTTGGCAGAACAGATTACTAAATATGAGCAATGAGATGATGGCAGACAGATGTAAGAACACATACTGCTTTTAACACTCCAGTCTTACTGTAATAGCAGGTCACTACTCAATATTTTAGCTGTGCTTATGAAACCCTACATTATAGTTAGTAGGAAAACTGTGCTTAGGTATGACAAACTTCTCCCTTACCCTACCAGAGCCAGTCAGTTCTTCATGTTTATTTGCTATCCAATTGTAGCATCTCTTTAAACTGCTTTTTCCTCTCTAGGTTTTCCTTTGCTCTTCTTTTTTTCTCTTGCTTCTTCTTCTCTGCTGCTTTCTTCTCTTTAAAAACATCGCTATCTTCGCCTTTGTAGAAGAGGTCAACTTTTTCCTGGAGGATTTTTCTGGCTATCTTTCGGTTCTGCTCCACTGATCTTGTTTGATGACACTGAGGAAACACAGTACAACACTTCTATTGCAACTTCGACCTGTTTATTTTGTTTTCCTGCTAGAACTTTTGTATCCAGATGATGTATTTTGGTGAGGCTGCCTCATAGTTACTTGCTACTGGAACTTGTCAGACCAGCCTTTGCATTAATCTGTAATTCTGTTGGCAAACGAGATTGCTTCCACATTACCTTGGAAGCCTGCTTCTGAGTTTAACTGAACTGTGTCTCCCCCTTGTTATGATAAGGAAGTGAAGATTAATTGAAAAGTATTAACCCACAATAGGTACCTAAGAGTAATGCTTAAAAAGAATTTGCAGATTAGGATAAGTTAATGAGTACATTTATGCAGGAGACAGGAACTCAAAGGCTGTCACTGGTAGGGTAAGGAGATGCTGATTTATTGAAACTACAAAATAGCACTGCGTGCCCAAGCTAGAAATGATGGGCTGTGACCCCACATTTATTTAGCTACCATTAACCAAAACCTGCTTTGTGCTGAGGTTCTTCCTCTGTGACACTTGCTCTGTGATTATGCTCGCTATAAAAGGAGACTTGGAGGACATGCTGCAACTTGGGACTTAAAGAATTAAAATGTCATTACCTTCACTACAATCCCAGATGGGACATGCTTCAAGACAACACAGTTGCTTGTCTTGTTAGTGGCTTGACCTCCCGGGCCATCACCTCTTACAAACTGTTCTTCTAATTCTGCCTCAGTTAGTCCAAGGAGATTGAGAGAGTTCTTCTTTCCTGCTGCCTGAAACAAGGGCATTCTGAGCAGGGAAAGTTGCTGCTTCCTCAAAATCCATGGCCTCCAAGATGCTGTACGTGCTTCTCTCAGTAAGAATGTAAAATGCAATAAACTTGGGACATTCATACAGAAATGAAGACACAGTTTCTCTGGAAAGAAACCTGAAACAGACGTAGGAAATAGGGTTTACGAGCAGAATCATTATTTTAAGATGTTCTAGTTTAGCTGCACATCCTGTGTGATGTTTTTATTTACTTATAGATTTATTTTCAAGGCCTTTTGAACTGGTTTCATAGCTATTTGCCTCGAAACATTTATCATTCCACATGGGATTTCAGTTCTGATTGCAATTAGGTTTCCTAAAATAGTCGAGATTATTTTTGCGTTGCTGAAATGGATCTGGAAAACAGTAAATAATTTAAATCAGTATTCCTACCCCACTTGGAGAATAACAAATTTGTATTGCAGCCTGACAGGAAAGCCTTTGCTTACGCTCCTTGTGCATCCTGGTTCTGTCCTGCTGGCAACAGTACCTACAATCCACCTGTCAAAACGTGCTCGAACTGCTGGGGACTGCTGCGGGTGCAGGAATCCTCTGTTGCCTTAACCAGCACTCAAAATTACTGAAAGAAACCTGCTGGAAAAAGCGGCAAATTTATGGGCTGTAAAGATTTGGGAGAACACAGCTTGAGAAGTTAAAGTTAGAACGGGAAGGGGGATTTTTGCCTGTCAGAATGATGCATGGCTGGTCAGTCAAGACAACTGCCTGGTGGTACAGGGCAGAACTTAGGGATGTACATTTGCAGTTCTAGATTAATCTATGACTTTGAATTCTGAGATTTTATTATACGCTAGGTTAGTACAGGACACGGAGTAATCCCTACCTAAATGGATTAGATAATCTGGACTTGTCTTTCAAACTTGCCCCGTTAAGGTGTTGTTTTCTAAGCATTGTGGTTGAGCTATACAGTGTACATAGAACTTGGTGAGTGGTCTGAAGTGGTGAGCTAAATTTCAAATCAGAAGCATTCTCCTGCATTGGTTCTGTTAACAAGCTTCATTTTCTACTCTCCTGACTTCCAATGCAGCCCATCAGGGAGTTTTGAGGGAGGAGAGAGAACCAAAGGGCAAGGAGACCACCGGGTTTTCGCACACTGCTTCACCCGCTGATTTCCTCCTGGTCAGGCTGTTAACACAGCCACAGGGGCTGGCACTATGCTTCAGCTCCTCATGGACACTGAGGAACGCCAGGTTCTACTGCTGTCAAATATTGTTTTTCAACAAGGCGCTAGGTAAGCAATTAGTAAACGATTTCATTCTTTAAATATTTAAATTTGCTTCATTAGAAAATACTTCAGCACACGAAGCAGCAGCACCGAGCACCAGATACCCACACAAGTTACACATCACCGATGAGGCCAATGTAAGAAGCTTTTATTCGCAATTAAACACCTCCGCTTGGCGACACTAGAAGGCAACTTTTATTATTTTAACCGCAAAAAATCCCCGCAGACAAACTTCGCAGAGCCCCTGCCCAGCAGCCCGGTTACCGGGGGCGCTGTGGGCCCGGGGCAACGGCTCCAGCGGCGGCAGGACCCCTGAGGAGGCTCCGCACCGCGGCTTCACGGCTGTAGGGCCCCGCGGTTCCCGCTCCCGGACCCCCCTCAGCCTCAGGGCGCCTCAGGGCCCGTCCCCGTCCCGCCCCCGGTCCCGTCCCGGCCCCTCCGCCCTCACCTCAGCGCCCCGCGATGGCCGCCGCCCCCCCCCGCCGCACTGCGCATGCGCGCGCGTCCCCTCACGCACCCGCTCTCCTTTGCGCACGCGCAGCCCCTGCAGGCGGGGCAACCTCCGGGCTGATTGGCATCGACTGAGAGCCAATCGCGCCTCGCGCACGCCCTCCCCTCCGCCCTCCACCAATCGGATTGAGGGAAGCCATCCGGCGCGTAGCCGCGCTGCCCAATCCCCTCGCAGCGACGCGCGTCCTTCCCCGCCGAACCAATCGCGGGGGGAGGCGCGGCCTGGCGGCCGGCCAAGCTAGCCAATCAGCGAGCAGAACCCCGGCGGGCGCTCCCTCCGCCCCTCCCGCGTTCCAACAGCGGCCGCCAATCGGCGGCGAGGGGGCGGGACCAAGCCTGGCTCTCCCTTAACGGCCGCCGATGCAGGCCGCCGCCGGCCATGCGGGTAAGGGCCGGGCCCAGCCCCGGGGAGGGGGCACCCAGGCGGGGCCGCAGCCCCCAGCGCCTCCAGGCCGCCCGCAGCGCCCCGCCCCTTTTCCCTCGTTGAGCGACGGCTGCGCCGGCCAATCGCGAGCCGCGGCTCTGTCAACAGGAGCGCGAGGGGGGCGGGCGGCCAATGGGAGCGCGGCGGGGGCGGGGCTTGGCGCGGGGAGGGGGCGGGGCCGAGGTAAGGGGGCGCTGAGGGGCTGCGGCTGCGCGCGCGCGGGGCTGGGGGCGGCTGGGCGGGAACTGAGGGGGCGCCGCGATCCTGAGGGGACCCTGAGGGGGCGGCGGAGCCCTGAGGGGGGATCTCGGCCCGGGGCGATGCCGGTGGCTGCCGGAGCCCCCCCTCTTGGCGCCCAGCTGCTCTCAGGGTGCCTCTGCCGCCTCATAACCTTCGGGGCTCTGCGCCGTTATAAACAAAATAAACGTTTTTTTCCCCCTTCCACTCGTTTTATCCTCAAAATCTCTGTCAGAGGGGTGCGTGTCTCGGGGTAGCTTCCCTCCAGTTTGCCCCTTCCCAAAGGAAACCGCTGGAGAACACGCTAAAGCTCCTGGCTCCAGGGAAACAGGGAGAAAGCAGCAGTTATCCATGGGTGTAATTCGGGTGGAAATGAGTTTTTATACTTCAAAACTACCTCTGTGAGGTACGGCTCCAGATACCTCAAAATAATTAAAGTTTAAACCTGCGTGACCTTGTGAGCCCTGTGAGGAATGGTCACGCTGTGAGGCACTGGGCTGCCCCAAGGCGATGAGGTGTTGTCACGGACCGCCAGGATGACATTTATTTCTTAATGCCTCTTCTTGTTCTCCGTCTGCAAGATGATCATAGGGTTTTTCTGCAGCAGTAGAGCTTAGGGTGAATCCGCTAGGGCAGAGAAGATGCTGAAATAAGTGAATCACCAGTGTGTCTCAAAGCCTTATTTTCGATGGAATTACAGACACTGGAAACGTGTTTTTATGCTGCTGTTCTTGTAAACTGCTGCTTTGGGCGCTGTAAATCCATTGCTCAAGTGTTTTGTATGCTTGTATTTTATTTATGGTGTTTTTAAGTGTGCTGTTTGACTTTTTTTTTTTTTTTTTACCAATTGACAATGAATTCTCTCAAACCAGTTCTAACACATTTTTGAATCAACGTTCTACAGTAATAATAAAACAAGTGTTCAAATAACTCTGTGGTAGAATTGGTGAGCTGCAGCCCAGCTCAGTAGTTCTTGATTTTGTTTCTGAGGAGTGTGTTCAGTGCAGTGAAGGCACAGAGCCCCCTTCCGCAGATGTAAATGCATTGACAACAGGCCCGTTCTCTAATTGTGTTTCACACAAGTTTCAAAAATGGACTGTGCAGTCCCAGATTTTAGACAAATAAACTCCACAACTTTGCTCTACTGGGATTCAGAGACATCCCCCTTATGTCCCAGCTTCGATGTGTGATGGGGATTTCTTTTTGAGTTAGAGGAGCCACAGCAGTTACAATGCTGACCAACTAGCAGCTATTTGCAGGCATAGCACAGGGCAGGAGGAGACTGTTTTGGAATGCCAGCATTTCCTGGGTTGCTTTGGCTGAAAAGAAAATGCTGCTTTAATCAAATTCTGTTTCTTCAAACAACAAAGTCCAATGACTTTTTAAAATAGGAGGGTGATAACTTAATTCTTTGTGTTTGCAGGGTGACTTCATATTGGGACATAAGATATGGAAAACCATGACTTGGTGAATGCTGTGCAAGAAGTCTCTTCAGCTTCTGTGGAGTCTGATGTCAGAAATACCCACAGCTCTGTTTGCAATTTGAATTGTAACAGGTAAATGATACATTGAAGGCATTACTAACAAATGCTTCTGTTATTTTTGTTATTCATATGTAGCATGCTTGATATATCATTGTTACCAAGGTGAAGTAATATGTAATACTCTGATATATTTTAGTTTTCTGTACAATTGCAGGTAAAATGTTTAATGAGAAAAGCCTTAATGAAAAAAGTGTTAAAATCTTCCTTAAACTTTGTAACTTCTGTTGCCTTGTGCATCTTAGTATGGGTAGGGAATTGTTTTTCTTTTTGATGTCTAAGATATATTCAATGAATAAGAAGGGCAAATATAGACTAATGGCCCAAGTGTCAGATTAGGAGTAGTTCTCCTTGGCTGACGTGCCGAGATAAGAATGACAAGTCACTTACTGCTTGTGCAGCTTCTTCAAAATGAGGCAGTAGTCTTGAATTTTGTAACTCGTTGTTTCTCAGGTTATATCTGTAAACTGAGGACCTTAGAATCTATGAAGAAGCATACAGATTTGATGAAAAGCTGTCTTTATTGACATTTGTACTAGTGAGCAATAACATTTGTGCTGATTATGCTGTCTTGGAAAGCTCCTGGGTTTAAATGGTATGTAAGATAACACTGTAGATTCTGAGACACTTTCTTGAAAAATAACCTCATTCTTATGGAAGTTGCTTTTTTCAGCATGATTAGGGTCAAATGTAAATTAAGCATATAATTCCTTTATGATTGTATAGGGTCTGTAGCATATTATTTTGGCCACTATGTTGGACAGGTGGCACAATAAATAATTGAAACGTTTTTCCTCATGTTTCGCCAGAAGTCCCTCGTCCAATCCCAATGGAGTTTCTGGTTACTCAGGGAATAGCAGGTCCTCATTAATACCTGGTTCCATTGAGCTGCTTTCCTCCTTCGTGCGAGATATCCAGAGCGTTGGAAATGCTGACTCAGAAATTGTGAAGAACTGTGAGGTATTTGATATTCATGTTTATATCAAAGAAGAAAAAAATATTAATGTATCAGCTTTGCCTTTTAGAAGATGGATCTAGTGATAGTACAGTTTAGCAGTGAGAGATTAAATACGTCTTTGTCCTTTGTGATGGGACAAATGCTTTTACAGTGCTGTGAACTAATCATGTGGATGGGTTTTGTTGCGATTTCATCTTCGCTTTTTATGTATGAGTGTTCTACAATTACAATTCTGGCGTGAATGTTTTTTTCAGTGTTAAGACAGCAATTGCAAATTTTTGAACTGAAAATTTTAAACCTCTATTCAGCACTTCACGATGAAGTCTAAAGAGATCCTAGAAAGTAGTTGTTTTTTTTTTTCTTCTAAAAATGTCTGTCTCAGTTGCATCATTTATTTATTCTGTTTGTAAAGAGGTGTAGATTATTAGTTCGTTTTCAGATTTAAAACGACACAAAAACCATTATCTTGGTGCAATGAGCTGATTCTCACAATCCCTTTTTTCCCCTTTTTTTTAAATTTTATATTTTATCATTATTTTTAGTCTCTGCAGGGAACATCAAGTTTCCACACCATGGGCTGGTTCTTGCTGAATTTTTGAGCTTTCTGGCTGCGCTCCAATAAAATGTCTTCTGACAGATGCTTAATTTGGTGCTCTTTAACAGCTCCAAGAAAAGATTGTAGATATCTGCATTTAGGCACGTGTTTTATGTCCTGTGTCCTAGGCATCAAATACCAGGCTCCATAAACATTAGCATAAAACTAGTTATAAAAATTCAGAGTTTACCACACGTTAGGAACACTATGTATTTATTTATTATCTTTTAGTTTTCACTAAACAGTTATACATCTTTTTCTTTGGCTGAATTGTTGAAAGGAAGATTTTCTGTATTGGAGCAAGTGGTTCACTGGACGTGAGGGTACTTAATTACCAATTTTAAGATTGCCTGGATCTTATTGAACTGGAACCTGCCTTTCCAAACTTCAATTGTATTTTTCTGCCATCTGTGTTTTCATTTAAGTTATTATTATTATTTTTTTTTAATAGAATAACTCACTTCCCTTGTTTTTTTTTTTAAAGCCAAAATTAATTGTAGAGATGTACTATCTTTTTGCGTAGAAGGATTTTTTTTCCAGTGAGTATGTCTATAGTGAATTGTTTGCTGTGATTGATGTGACAGGGGTCTGTATATATTGTGGGGTGCACAACCAGAGTGATAAAATTTGTATTATGTCAGTGCTTAAGTATAAGATTGCAAAACCATTATGTAACTAGAGTAGAAGGTAAGAGATTCCGTATGACTATGCCTTAATTATTTTACTTTGTGATTTAATAGACAAGGTGGCTGCAGTTATTGAGACTGGTAGAAAAGCAATGCCAGGAACAAATAGTTGCCCAGCAAGAACAGTTCCACCACCAAATCCAAGTGAGTAGTGATTTGTTTGTGTGGGTGGGTTAGGTTAAATGTTTCTTTTTCTTTCTTTCTTTCCCAACTGCCATACAAAACAGCACACTACAGTGTCAGGCACTCTTTTTCTCTTTTTGTTTTCCTTTTTTTCCTCCCCTCCATTCCTGTAAGTGTACTGGGCCTGGCAATTCAGGCAGCCAGTTACTGGGACTGGACTGGCAATTTACAGTGTGTATATTTGAGATAGCCTTGGCTAATTAAACAAGTAACTGGTAGGAACCATTTCAGAATTGAAGATTCTTGGATTATTTGTTTTCAGGCGTTTATTGTCAAAAACGGTTCAGAACGCCCACACGATAATTGGACTTTGTAGGTACAAGCTGTTTTATGTTATCTGTTAGACTGTGTCATTTCTAACATTGAAACAATGCAGTTTTCTTTTCATCAGAAACTGTTGTGCAACTCGTGATTCCCTAGTCTAGACAGTATATAGCACAGGAAGACTTTCACTGGAATAGCTGAACACCTCTTTCACCCTTTGGTTAAACAGTCTCCTCTCTAATAAGACAGATGGCTCACATGAAGATTCACGTTTTTGCTGAAGTGTATTTATCCTTTAAACCAGAAGAAATGTATATGTATGTATAAAAGACAGTATTCTCTAACTATATAATGCTTAATGTCTTCATCATTTTGGTTGCTGTTTTTCCCTTCCCTTTCCTGATGCCCTCTACACTAGTAGTAATCAACAGTTCCTGAACTGAATTAACAAGAGGTACTGTCCTTTTATCCTATCTCCTGTTTCTCCCCCTCCACCTTTCTTTCTTTTCTCTCCCATCTTGTTGGTTTTGTCCCACCAGTGTTTCCTTATCCTCATATTTCTTTTCCTCTTACTGTAGTGGTTTGATTCACTTGTTGCTAATGGTAGTCTTGACTAATCCATTGTGTTGCCTTTGCTGTTTTTTGTCTTTATTAATAGGAAAGGCTACCTCTGGAAGAGTTTAGTTCATGGTATCCACAGGGACTTAACTAACTGCATGAACTGCCACACTAAATGTAAAAATCAACGGCTGTAACATATTTTCAGTTGTATGAATGCATTAGGTAAACTAGATGGAACTATTTCAAACTTAAACTGGTAGGCTAGTGAATTTTCTAAAACCCAGGGGATTCAACATGTTCTAGTAATAATAAAAATAAAACTTCAAATTAATAACCTACTATTTGGGGTCAAAGAGCAAGATGCTGCTTTAGCATTGACGTGGCTCTGAGATAAGACTTGCTCTATGCTGTGCTTCAAGACCACCTGTTCTTACGAAAATACATTGTCATAACAAAAAATGGGTCAAAAGACCTTGAGTTCATTTTGGAATTATGCTGGGGTCAGCCCTCAGCTGGTTTGAATTATGCAGTAAAATACAAGTGTGCTAATGACATCCTGTCACCAACTGCATATCATCTTAAGATCAGGATTTATTGAAGAAGATTTAAAAACATAAGACAGCTACCTATAATCCCCAAACTCTATACAAATTTCTGAAATTTCATTTTCCTAGGTCTTTTCTTCTCTTGGAACTATTTATGACTATACAAGGAGAAGTAGAAGTACTGTTTAATTAGAATAATAGTCTTTCACCTTTCCTGCAAAGTACTATTGACAAAGATTAAATGCCAGCAGGGAATCTGATCAGTTTTTTCCACCCACAACTCTGTTTCTTCACTTTTATTCTCTCTTCCTTACCTTCTTCAACAAAATGATTCAAATCACCGAAAAACTTTGTTATTGCAGAAATGTCATCCCTGTTTTTTTGTTTTTTTTTTTAATAGGAAGACTGACCTGAAACTCAGTTGTTAATTGTTTTGCAAATTTGTAGAACATACAAGGCTTGATTCTGACTAGCATTGCACGTCAGTTCCTTTAGAATTAAGCCTTTTTTTAAAAAAATCTTACTTTAAAAGAACAAATGATTTTTGATCAATTTGTGCTTTGCACCTGCTATTCTTATCTGAGTAATGTCCTGTAGTTCTGTGAATAAAGCAGTACTAGAGTTTCATGTTCTTAAAATTATTGAAAGTTGAGTTTTTTTTCCAGGGAGAAATTGGTTTGAAATGTATTCTTGAAAACTGCCATATACTCTGGTCTTGTAATGTGTATTAAGAGCTGTGCGCCCCCAGAGAGTTCAGTAACTGCAGCACTGCTCTGCGAAAGTGCAGCTCCCTGGTCAAAGGACACAGCTGTGGGCACTAGCATGAAGTCTTTTCATAGCCCTTGACAGAAAAAATTAGTTGTTTCAGTATACTAGTACACCACTAAACAATTCAGTGTAGTAGATAGTTCATATATGCATATATATATATTTATATATATATATATATATGTAAAATAATTCTTTGCAGGCATTGCAGACTAAAAAGTAAATAACCTGTTAAGTCTCTTCAAGTGACCTTTTTATAGGTTTTCTCCACTCTATCAGAGACCAAAAACCAATAAATCAAACTGTAAATATTTTTATTAAATGAACTACCCAATAATGCATTACTTAAATCAGCTATTTTGAAGCCACGTTTTATGTGAATAATCTTACAGAGGTACATTATTCCTATTTGTGTAACAGAGTAATGGTTTATTCTTCCATTAAAGCATCCTTACAATCTTCAAATATGTAAATCCAAATTGTAAAGTCTTTTAGACTTTGATTTAGCCAATGACTTTGTCCACTTCTAATGATATGCCTAGATAACTGGTATTTCTTTAGGTGGCTGATAGGTAACTGTAGTTCTGAAGGCATGTAGCCAATACACGCATGCATTGTTTTTTATATAAGTAAATGACTCCTGAGACCTGTAATTCTCTGCTTGGATATTGAGTTGTTACCATTCACCTTTTACTGTTATGCACAGTATGCATATATCTACTTTATGCATGAGATGTGGATGCATTGAAAAATTGGAATTGTTTGAAATAAACGCACTAATTCCCTTGCTAATAACGTGAATTGAAGATGGATCAAGATCTAAATATGACTTGTAGCATGATCTCATGGGAATTTTGCCTTTTGTTTTTATTCTTTAGCTGATTCAGGATGAAATAAGGCAGTTAGTGAAACTGCAGATCAGCAATTGGGGTGTTGGCAAGAGCAGAAGTTTGCCTGTGAAGGTTACAGACACTTTTTCGTCAATAGGAAGTCAAATGGGGATGCAATCTGAAGTCTCTGAAGAAAATGAATGCATTGTCAATCAGCTTAGATCTAATGAATCAGAAACTCAGCCAAATGCATCTGATCTGTATCAGGAATGTTTTGCAAATGACGCTTCGATGAACAGTGGGTATGGCACCCTTTCTGCCTCTGAATTGAACGCTAGCAAATCTAATGACGTTGTCAAGTGCACAGACTGCACGGAGAAAACTTCTCAAGGACAGGGTGATGCAGCAGTATTGCAGAGTGATGCAGCTGTAGCCACTGTTCAAAATACAAGAGAACTTTTACCAAAAAAAATAGAGGAAAACTGCTCATCAGGAAGGAATGATGTTTTAGGTTTTCCTGTTGAATGTGAACATAAGGTAAATGAAGCGCAGTGTGGAAGAAAAAGCAGGTAAGTGGTAAACTTTCCAAATTTGTTAATTTATTATATAGTCCTCACTGAATAAATGCCTTTTGGTAACTAGAAATATGTAAGAATTGAATGGAACTTCTTGATGGTAAGAACTAAAAAAGCAAAAGTAAACACATGAACCCCCCCCCAAGAACCTAGGTACTTGGTAGATAAATGTGTTTCTGACGTTTCTGTGTGATGCATATTTGCTTCTGCAGTGTTTACCTATTGTAGGTATGTTGGGAGAAAAATACAAAACTCTCCTTATTGTAAACATGAGCTAAGATAAAGTTTGCATATACTGTTTTATCTACACATGGAAATTTAGGTGCTGATTACCAATTTTACATGACACATTTTGCTGTGGTACTCAGCATTTTTTGCTATCTTACATGAATGTATTACAGTAATAATTTTTATCAGACAACAGCCAAATGTGTGACTTATTCTATTTTTGTTATTTTGTTTTTAGTTAAGTTTTGTTTTTCTTTTGTTATGTCCAAAAGGTGAGTGGATCTAGTAAACTTTTTTTTTTTGAGTTACTTTGGCTCATCTGTAAGCCATAATAACTGACCAACTTCTGCTCTAGTTGCAGAGAATTTGCAACTCTCCCTGTCAGGCTAGACTATAAAGGCAGTGGCTTCATACAGCTGTGACCAATATCAGAGCTCACATGGGCAGCATGTTGCCTGTGAATCCGTGATAGTATTTTGCAGAGATAAAAACGCTCTGTCTGTTGGAAAAACGGAGAATCGTGAAAATGAACTTGTGCCTTGCTACTATGTTAGGAAACACAGAACCAGCTTTCTTTAGAGGATTGGTTTTGGAGATGTGTTATCTCAACATACAAGGTAGATCATAATGCCATTGATGTGCACATTCTCTTCCTTCTTTCTATTGAAGTTGATTTCTGTAGGGATCATTTCTCCATTGAAAAAGGGAATATATGTTTATGGTATGTATGTGTGTTTCTTATCATCTAGTAAGTCTTTAACATCATGGGCACAAAAGTTGAAACAAAACCAACCCAAAAGAATAAATGCAGAAGAAGTACAAGTAGCCTCTATGCAAGGAAATGAACAAGCAAAGAAATTACCACTGGAGAATGTAAGTCACCTTCCCATTTAGTTTTATTTTTAAATTGTTACTCTTGTCACTCCTAGTTTTTAGAGTTATAGTATGGTCTAATTCAGTGTTTGCTTTGAAATTTGAAATTTTTGAAATATGTTTTGCTTGCTTTGAGCATTTGAGTAGTGGTTTTTCCATTGATATGTCTAAAGTTCATGTGGGCAGGGTTTACTACTTGGATCCTTCTATACCTATTCAACGCTGCTATTTTGGCTTATTTTATCCCTTGTCTAGTTTTTTTTTTTAACTTGCCTCAGTGGCACAAGTTCTTTCCTTGTAGAGATAATAGTCACATTCTCAACTAAATCATCAGGTCATGGTAACTTATTGTGTCCCGTCATTTTTTAAAGGATCTTTGTTTTACAAATGTTGGTCTTCCATTTCAGCTGTTGATGTCTCTTTTGGTATACAGAATTTAATGCAAGCTGCTAAACTTTTTGCATATTGAGACATTAGCCACTTTGTTCGGGACTAATAGTGTTTTTTTTTGTGTGTGTGTTTTTAGCAAACTCTTAGGCTAAAATCCAAACAATTTTTTTTCTTGTATTGTTTCTGTAAGAATAATAAATTTTATGCTTGTATATGGTCACAATTTGTCTAAATTGAACTACTCCAAATTCAGTTACAGCACTGGTTACTAAAAAACAACCCACACAATAGAAGTTTAGGAGAAATTTTGGCTTTTTAGAACTATTTGTGGTAAAGCCTATTGCCACGATTGCAGAATTGGCTCAAAATGCTTCTTTTGAGATGAATTTTATTTTTTGTGTGTCCCTTCCCTCTTCCCCACCCCCTGTGATTAAATATTTCCTTCTGTATGTCCATAAATCTAATTATTTTGGGAAGTTTAACCATGTATAACATTTCTGACCCAAAAGGACATTATGCAACATGATTGCATGAGTATTCATCATACATGTAACTGAAGTTTTTGAATTAGTTTGAATATATTAATTGTCACAAGCATCTGTATGCTATTTTTAAGGAAATAATTCCTGAAATTCTGAAAGGCTCCACCTACAAGAAAATAGGAGAGCTAGAAAATATGAATCACTTGATACAAGGCAGGGTCAGTTTTCTTTCCTGTGGTCACTTTGAGGGTGATCCAGAAAGGGTAATCATAGCAGTTTGGATTTGCTCTCTCTAGTCTTCTATTGTCAGTGCAAACACAGTTGGCTAATGGAAATTAGTGTAAGAAACACAGATTTTGAAAAAAAATCTTTGTGTTCCTTTGTAAGAATTCAGTTGTTGCCCCTTCAAGTTCCTTTCTTCCTCCTTAGACAAAGGAGAATACCTTAATAAAAACATCAAAAGGGACAAAATAGCCTTGAGGTAATATCCTACATAATTCAAAAAGTTGTACTCTAGTTCTAAACTTCCTTTTTTTTTTTTTTTTTTAGCTGAGAGAGTTTTTTAGCTCCTAAAAAGTTTGGAGTGAAGGGAAGGAGGAAGTTTGGAGTGGAGGGGAGGAGGATATGTAGTATCTTACACAGGGGGTATGTAGTATCTTGTCTATCCAAGATGGTAGACAATATTACCTCCTGATTTGTGGTAGGTGGAGGCATAACAGCTGAATATAAGAAATTCCAGTCTTAGGATGAGCAAGGAGTAACAATATCGGTAAGTCATCATCCCTCTATATACTTGCACCTTTTAAGAAGTAGGAAGGTTTAGATGACTATCCAAAAAGTGTATTTTTATAATACCTCATCTAAAAAATGCTCTATAAGTGGACTGGCACATGAATTAGAAGCTACCAGTATCATTTAATTATATGGCTTATCTTGGTTCCCCTTCTGGCTTTGATTGCCCTTAATATAAATTGTATAGGTTTGGATCATCATCACTAAGTTTAATCCCTTTGTGTAAAAAGGCTAACAGCATCTACATGCAGTTTTTTTAAATTAGACTCTCAATTTTTTTTCTTGCCTTGCAGTTTTTGTTATAAGTTTGTGTTCTCCTTTTAATTTTAGACAAACTCTACTGATGCTGTTTTGCCACCTTACACTTTTTACCTCAATCAACCAACTGAAAGCCCAAATTCCTTAGTGTCCGAAGCTTCAGGTATTGTTAATATCTTTTCCTTAAATTTCCTTTTCTGTCGATTTGTGTTTTTAGAACTTACTAGAACATACCTCCAATACTTCTGGAGAGGTACGGAGGGTATAAGCACAGAAAAGCTGTTAATTTTTGATATAGTATAATTCTGCTGCTCATGGTCTTGTTTCAAACTGATGGTGGCTCCTGTGCACCACTGCTGGCAGATGCAGGGCTTTGGGCAATTTTATTTTTCTTTAAATTTCTCAGTGCTTCAAGGCTGAGCTTTGTATTTAAAACTGTTTCATAATGTAATTACTGTTAAAATCATGGTAGGGGATAAAATGACCTTTAAAAATATTAGCACCGCTGATGGTTTAGTAATCACAGGAGTGCATGGCTATAGAAGCAGAATTCCTGTAAGCCAAAGGAATGATTCAGTAGTTCTGTGAATAAACAAGAACAAAATAATGCAGTGTGTAATGTGAGGATTATTATTATTTTTTATGTTGGGGTGCGTGTGAGTGAAGGGGGTTGTTTTTTGTTTTAGTGTGGTTTTGCATCTGTTCTTTTTGGGGGGAGCTTTGTATGGTTTTGCTGTTACAGTTTTACTGGGTGCTTTATTTTATTTTATTTTTTGTCAAAGCCAAACAACTAATTTATGTATTTTGATCATAACATGGTGGATCCACTTCAGTAACAAACAGGGATACAGAGACGTAGCCCTGCAAATGATGTATATTTCTTCTACACAACCACACATATAAGAAACTGAAGTGGGATAAAGACTGTTTAAATGTTCCTCTTGTGCCATCCCACAGTAGGTGGGTCCCGGTAGGCTGTCTTTTTGCATGTAACGGTGTGCAGTTGAGCACCAAACTGAAGAGTTTGTAACCTTGAGTGGCTGTCTAGAATTATTCCTTGGGCATTATAAGTTTTAAGAGCTATACTGGCATTGTTAGAAATGTGGCAGTTTATTGTAAATGAGGCTATGACCTTGAACACCAAAGAGTATATCTATATTTTCACTAATTTGCACCTTTAATTAGCGATGCTGTGTGATATAGTACTGATTACGTATGTTGCTTGTGTTTGGCGTTGAGATTTTTATAACTTCTGCTAACAAATACTTCAGTAAAATCCCTAAGCAATAGATGCTAGTAATTAATACACTACTCTTGTTCATTGGCAGAATAACTTCTTTCTAATGGTTTTGGGGATTCCAGCTCCATAGCAGTGAGATTGAAATTTTAACCTTTTTTCTCCAATGATTCTTTTAGGACTTTCGTACTGGAAACTAGATGAAAAGGACATGTATCACTCTTTACCAGAGAACTTCGGAAATGAGTTCACTGATGTTTTCTCCACAAAAGTATCACCAGATCAGGTAGACTCTGTGCATGTTCTAAAAGTTGTGTTATATTTGTCATCTTTCCCCTTTTCTACAAATGGAAAGAATCAGCCCTTCAGAAGAGAAGTTTTCTGTGAAGCCTCTTTTTGTTAGCTCACTGTCTCCATTATTCATTTACCCTGGCTACCTTCACTTGGAATTTACTGACCTTCTGTCATCTAAAGGAAATGGTGTAAGAGACAAGAAGAGATTAACTAGTGTATTAAAGGTGTATTTGCCTCATTAACGACAGTTCTTTAAATTGGGTGCATTGAATAGAGCCTTTGTTTTTTCTGAACTGTTTCATTAGCCAAAAAGAAGTAATTGGGGGTGAAGGGTTGTGTTCAGCAAGACTAACGTAGCAATTTCACCTCCTTAAGTCATCTTCTGCTGATGAAATGAAGCTATCGTCGTTGAAGGATATTTATCAGAAGAGACAAAGGGAAAACAAGCAGCTGCCAGACATGAATTTTATGCCTTCTTCTCAGTCAAGTCACCCACCAGAGGTAACGTTATTATCTTTGTTCCACATCTCAGTTTGAAGATATGTTAGGTTTTACAGGCTGCTTTCACATTAATCGGCACCTGCTGCCACCTCCAGTGCTGTGCTGGAACAGCAATTTTTGCAACTATGTGATGAGCCAGACTGGGAGGGGATCCAGCTGAAAAGAACCCCTGAGAACACTCTGGGTGAAGGAGCACCTTTGCAGCACATCCTTGAAGGTGACACAGGGGTGAATCTGCTGAAGCTGATGAAATGCACATGGGACTGCAGTTGCAGAAGCAGGGTTTTCTTATTATTTCCTACAAGACAAGTTTCTTCCACCTCAGAAAGGGAATAAGCACGGGTTGTGGAAGTATTCTTTATTAATTCTGTTTCCATACCCAGATCCAGGACATAGCCTTTAGATTTTCCTCGTGTATGTAATGTACAAGGCTACACAGGGGCTAATAAGTGACTGTCTTGTTTATGTAATCCACAAAATGATTTTAGTAACTGCAAGCAAGCATCCTAATTCATTTATATATATGGCTGAAATTTTCTGGACAGCTACAGATGCTGGATATATCATTTATTCCTACCAGAAACTGAGAAACACAAGTTGCAAGCATTGGGTACATGTATCATCTTCTGAGCTGTTACAGATTTCTCCATCTTTGCACTTGCTTGTCAATATCAAATAATTGTAGTAACATTCAGAGTAATTCCTGCAATACATTGTATGGATGACTAATGTATTCAGATTAATTCCATTTACATGACCAAAAGTTAAAACATTTTTTTTAGTATTGTAACTTACTTCCTAGATCTTGACGTTGGACCCAACCCTGCACATGAAACCCGGTCAGCAGAATCCAGGCCATTGCTTTTTCAATATTCCTGAAGAGACTACTCCTTTTTCTCCAGACTCTATGGCAGAACCTGGATTTTCAAGTCATTGTGATACAGACTCTTTTTCACGGACAAGCAATTCATCTCAGTGTGATGATTCCCCGAAATATCCTGCTGGTAGCAGAGCTGTGCATTTGGACCTCTGGAAAAATCACGCAATTCCAAATGAAAACAAGGCCAGCTGTCCTTTTCCAATGGCATATACCGATGCTAATAGTGATATTTTACTCAACACTGAGGAGGAAGAAACATTAACTCTAACTCCATCTTCTGTTACTCAGTGTGCTGACAACAGTTTACCAGAATATAATCTTTCAGTGGCATCTGTTGAAGATCCTGTGATAATGTCAAAGTAAGTTTTTTTTCTTTTTTTTAAAGTTAGTTCCTTCATGAAAGAACAGTACTGGTGACATGAACAAAACATGCACATTCTGTGAGCTTAGAATGTAGCTGGGCATTGCTTTTTTTTCTTTCTTTTTCTGCTTCCTGAAGTACAAATGGCATGGAGATAGAACAGTCATTTTCCACTTGTTATAAATGTCTTTGAGACCATACTATTTAATCTAAAGCACGGTGTTTGTACTGTCTTCCTTGATCCCCATGAATATCAGAGCCTTAACTGGAACACAAAACAGTTTTCCATATTTTAATTTTTATTATTTCTGTTTATACATTAAAATAAAAGTACATGCTTACTTCCTAGGCTGTATGAGGGTGCTGATTTAGTTACAGAATTTCAAAGTTCTATGGTAGGTATGGTTTTTAGAGTCAAATGGTAGGATAAGCCCAGAATTACTGTACTTAGGAAAAATAAGTATCCCCCAATCACAATTGAGGCTCTCGTGATTTGCACAGTGACAAGCAAATGTGGCATATATTCCATGTGTGAGGGCTTATGCAGAGGGTCTTGACTGTTTCAAGACAGTTCAATTTGTGTGTTTCCTGGTTAATTTCTTGTGCATATTTTCTGCTGGGTAGAAAAGGAGAGAAGGAGTTAAGCTTTGTGTTATTAATGTGAATGCTTCCATGCCAGCCTTGGGTGTCTGACACCACTGCTTTAGATGACAAATTTCCTTTGCTTCAATTTGACTGTAACAAAACTCTGCAAGAGATATTGATGTGCTGAGTTCATTACATCTGAGTCAGTGTAGCTGGCAATGCGTGGTCATGTTGGTAGCTGGAAACTTTTTTTTGTTCTTAATTTTGAATATAGGATTAGGCAGAACTTGAGGGAAAAACATGCTCGACACATAGCTGATCTACGAGCTTACTATGATGCTGAGATACATAGCTTAAAACAGCAGCTAGAGGCAAGCCATAAAGCTGCTTCTTCTGAAGATTTGAAGAAAATCAATCAAAATCTTGCTGACAGGTACTGTTTATCCATCTTTTTCTTTCTCTGTTACAGGATATTATTTCTACTTTAAAAACTACATATGCTTGTTTAGAATATCTTGAAATGTCTGTCATTCCTCAATTCTGAATGTTTCATGCATCTGTGATACTAATATTTTACTACTAAACACACATTTTACGTTATTTAATGCATCTTTTTAAGATTGGTTTAAAATGACTGTTAAGTGATAAGTGGGATGTTTGGACCAGAGGTCTTGTTTGACTTGATTTTTGCTGAAGGTAGGATAAGTTTTGCTCAAAAGCAGTTGGCTGGCAGGCTGAGGTAGTCCTGAGCAATCTGTAATGGAAATATCACAGTCATAAGATAGTATTTGCCTGTCGTGCTGGTGAACATCATCCCTCTTTATCTTTCACGTCAAAACTACCAGATGTTTCCAGATGTTACAGGAAAAGTCTTGAATTTATTGGTAGCTTTATAAAGCCAATTTACCAGTCAGTGCTCTTTGACCAGATATTACTGCCGGGGGCTGTGTGCCTCACCTGTGTACTCGGTGCCACTTGGGTGACTGCTGTAGAGGTTCAATGTGATTTTATATCATTACTGCCAGTCAAAATACATATTAAAAATTTAGACAGTTAAAATACTTTGCAAAATTTATGGCGTTCAGAGTAATTGAAAAACTGTGTGGGTAGCTGGGTCTCTTCCGTACTTCTCTTTTAGCAGTAGTGGGTTCTACCTATTAAAAGTGACTTCTGAGCAGTCATTTACTGAGTTACAAGAAGCTTGTGGTATGCTTTCAGTCATTAATTATCACACAGCATCATCAATTAGCTCAAGTGGAACTCCACTCTGGTGCCTCTCAGCTGCTTCTGGTCGTGGAGCTCTTGTGCACAGACTCCAGATGGTTCTGAGCAAATATTCCCACTTTGCTGCTTGCCCTCTGAGCACCGCAGCCTTTCTGTGCAGAGGTGCTGGGTGCTCACTGCAACAGCTGTAGAGTATGGGAAGAGGTCCCAGGCTGGGTACCAAAATTAGAGGGGAAAGGAGGAAGGAAAGGCAGCCATAAAAGGTAGATTTATTATTTGAAAGCTTAAGAGATTTTTGATTTTATCTCTCTTTTCCATGTAGGTGTGACCAACTAGATGCAGCTCTGAATGAAGCAAGTGCTCGCATAAAAGCCCTTGAAAATAAGAATAATATGCTAGAAAAGCAAGTGGTAAGTATACGTTTGTGGTGACATATATTAATTCAAGTTGCTTTTTAACTAAAAGGGTAAGAGAATGCACTTATTCATTGTTAAGCTAATCTGTATTTCTGTATCTTATTTTCAACCTTTCTCTTAATATGACATCAGCCAGTATGTTACACAGGCGACTTTCCTAGCCGTGTTTCTGAAGGCTCCTTGCTTGAATCATAATCACTTTTGTTTATAAACAATCCTTTATAGGGACCAAATGAAGTTTAATAGTTAAATATTGTCATTTGTTTCTGATGTCTCACTCTAAACCAGAATCAATTAAAAAAAAATCTAATTACTTCCTTTTTGATTTCTAATTAGAGCTGTGTAATTAAGAGGAAATCTCATTTGCACTGGGGCAAAAATATTACCTGTTTAAGTGTACTTATACAGTCTTTCTGGCTAGGTCAGACCTGTTTGTTTATGACTGCATAGTTGAATTTATTGATGAAAGAACAGGGCATTCTGTCATGGAAGTTAAATGCCTAGAGAGACTAATTCATTCCACCTTTTAGACATTTTTCTTTGCTGGGAAGCAAGACAAGAAGTTGGGATTAGAGGTGTAACTTCTAGATATTTTAAGTCATATAAAGTGAATATACCTCACAGAAATGCGCATAATCTTGTACGTCTGTTGATGAGCTATTCTGTTTAGATGATTTTAGTTTCTGAACTAAAAATCTGCAAGGTAAGCATTATAATTAATGTTGTTTTTCTTCTACAGACAGATTGGAGAGAACGTTTTTATGCTGTTAGTAATACTTCCAAAGTTTTACAGGAACGTATTGAAGAAATGCGCACAAATAATAAAGAGAAGGATAACACAATCAGTAGACTAAAATCAAGGCTTAAAGATCTAGAGGAAGCATTTGAAAAAGCTTATAAATTATCCGATAATAAAAATGCAAGGTTAAAAGAAGAAAATAAAATGTTTCAAAATGTGAGTAAGAAAATGTGAAATGATTTTTACAGTTGCATTGCATCTTACCAACACAGCAAGTCCTGGGTGTTTATGCAGTGGTATACTCTGAGTAGTTTTCCAAGACTTAATGCACATCTGAGGGAGCAGAAATATTCTGTAGATTGCTTTGTAGGCTAGGTGTTATGTTATACCACAGACTTGATAGATATTTTAAAACAGTTATTTAAGGCAGCGATTATGTACGTGATATGGTAACATTTGCTGTAGCCTTTCTCAGGTATTTTATTACTTTGTGCTATTAGTTCATCTTTTTGTAGAGGTATTGTAGGAAATAATTTCAGAACAAGTTACTTTTTGTTCTCCTGAGTTTATGTGGAATGGACTGAATCTCTTTTGTAAGTCATCACTGTTAATTTTATGTATAATTTTAGACTGAATCAAAGCAAATGTTCTTCTGATTCTTCAGTAACAGCTTTATGGAATGTTTGATTCGTTTCGGGAAAATGGGTACTAGGAGGAAAAGAAACGTGATGCTTTAAATCCTGTATTTATTTATTTATTTTCCAAATAAAACTTTAAATACAAAGTCAACTTCAAAAGCCAGTAAAGAGTTCTACTGTTCTGTGAAGAGTTCTACTTCAGCTTCTTCAGTTCCTTTTAAAGATAAATTATATGACAATTAGAAATACGTTGTCCATGTAGTTCTTATCCCTTCTGTAACTTTTTTTCTGATTAGGAGATGCTAGAACTTAACAATATTTAAATGTATTCTGTATAGCCCATAGTGCTTATAAGCATGTTAGATAAGTAATTTATTTTATAGCACTCAACAAAAATGTTAGTTATGTTTACTCTCCATATGTGCTTGTTTTTTTGTTTGTTTTAGCTTTTAGGAGAATATGAGTCTCTTGGAAAAGAACATGAAAGAGTAAAGGTAAATATGCACTAGTTAATTAAAAACCCAAGCTGGTAAAATCTGTTGTAATGTATTACAGAATTAACTGACTTAACACAAGTATTTAGGAAAAAGACAAAATGAAAGATCCATATATCTTTTGGCTGAAAGCTTTTTACTGCATCTTCGGAGTCCCTGAAAAGGGAAGAAGAATGAGTTTAGAGTATATTGTGTTCTAGTTGTAGACAGCAAAAATACTGTAAAGTCAAAGCCGAAGAAATGTAATGGAACTCTATTTCAAATAGGAAGGCATATTTAATGTATTATTTTCAAGATCTAAGTTATTTTTTTTCTTCTGTAGACACTATGTAGTTTCCAGACTCGTTACTTTTTTCCTTTTGTACTTTGTAGGATACATTAAATGCAACTGAAAACAAATTGCTTGACGCAAACACCCAGATTTCTGATTTGAAAAGGTAAATGTGAATGTTATTACTATTTTAACAATATGAAATACAGCCTGTTAAGTCCTAGACTATCAAGTTTGTATATTTGCAATCTTAATTACATCTTATGAAGTATTTCATGTTGCTTTATGCGGCTTTGCACAAATGTGAAGAATCTTGTTATTTCTAAGAAATGTGGTTTGTATTTTTATTTCCTTGATCATAACCTCTTCCAGTGGGTTGCAATTGCTTCCTCTCTGTTGTCAGTCAGATAGCCCAGCCAGTCTGCTGCTCAAGCTTTTGCTACCAAAGTTGTTTCCTCAGGAGTCCCCACCTTCAGTTTAGCAGTCTCTATGCAGGTTTTTAGGAATGAGGATGCTGACAGGAGTCCACTATTTGAGATTATGGCTCCTGAATGTGAATAAAGGACAGAAAGTGTTCCATATATAGCAGAAATAATACCTGCTATGGATGTCTCTCAAGAAGCCTGGATCTGTCTTGTGGTTGGGAGAACAGATACATATTGAGCTTTATGCTTTCTGGGCAGGCACTAGGCAACAGTTGTGACCATCAAGAGTTTTATGGCTATGGATGTGTCCTCCAGTTTGGGATTTCTCAGCTACTCCTAATCAAGGGTGTAAAACAGCATAGTTGTTCGGTGGCGTTTAGAGGTGTGTGGGAGGAGAGGACTTCTGAGAGGGCTCTAGGGCAGGCATTGTAGAACTGCAGTGAGGTGAGGTGTGATGTCGTTCATCTCCCTCTGTGCTTTTTTTTTGGGGCATGTGCTGTTATTTCCTTTCCTGTTTTATATGAGCAGCTGAAACCAAGACTGTTAGAAATATTATTTTTTTTGTGCCTGGTTTTTGATGATTCTTCTAGAAATGTGGCTACAAGTTTCACCTCAAAATCCATTCCAAATGTCATAGCAACTAAGCATTAACCCGTGTAAAGTTAAAACTAAAACAAGAAAAAGCAAATGCATTTTCAGGCATATGTTTTGCAATACTTTGTTACTCAGATCACCTGATTTTTAAAGAAGAAGAATGGAAAGAATGAATAGCAAGAATTTAAGGAAGGAGTAGAAAGGAGCCAAAAATACACTGCCTTCAATTTTTATTGTACTGTTGAGGAAATAAAGAGAGTGTGAAAGAAAGTTCAGTATGGTATTTCTATTAGTGCTTCTATTTTTCCTGCCTGACTGTTGATGCTGCTAGCTAGGGATCATTCCATACTCATAAAGTGGAAAAAAGCAATTTTTACATCCTGTTCCAAAACCCTGAATTTCTATTCTCCAAGCAGCGAATGCCTAAAATTGTATTGCACTGAAGATGTGGGCTGCATGAGCAGCAGATTGGCAGTTACCTGAGTGACACACAGGAGAAGGAGCCACCCACTAAAATCAGTCAGGGAGTCCTTTGTGTAGATTCCTCATTTCAAAGAGGAAAAACATTTGTTTGCCCCTCCCAAAGCCCCTAGGAGTTGAACGCTTTGATCCACAGCAGTATCTCCTGGTCTTGTCTTTCTAGCTAGGTCACCTAACCTATTTGACTTAGAATACAAACACATATTTATCTACGTGTTTATGGATAGATAGAAATCTCATAGTTACTCTTGTTCTTCTGCTCTACTCAGGATATCTGAATAAAAATGAGTAAACTCCAGGAAATATGATGTCTCTTTATATATTTTAAATCATCTTATGCATCTTTGCTACTTTTACATTAGGACGATTTCAAAACTTGAAGCTCAGCTCAAGCAGGTAGAACATGAAAATATGTTGAAACTTCGCCATATTACTGAAAGTCGTTTAAGAACCTCTTGTGCCAAGTAAGTGAATATTCCAATAATATGAAAACAGGTCACGTGCTTTAGAATACTTTAATGTGTTTTGGGTAACAATGGATAAAGATGTAAGTCCATAGGCTAAACTGGATTAAACACATGATGTAATCCCAAGACTTCATATGCCAAGAAATTATTAAAAAAAATAATAATCAGATAACACACGTGTTATTTGGCAGACTGTCTCTAGTCTTTCTGCATGAAGACTGGTCTCAGTTGCTAAGCTGAATAGAGATTTCCATGCTCAGCAAAGATCTTGGGAATAAAATCTAATAGTCCAATTAGACATTAGAAGTTTTCTTTATGCCCTTACGTCTTTGTTTTAAGAGGCTCATTACTGCTTTTTATTTTTCTAACTATAGTTTGTACGGGTATGCTGCGAGTAGTGTGGAAGTTCAGTTAAAATGCATACTCCAGTAAGGATTGTGAATGTATGTTAAAGAAGTTAGAAGTTGGTCTCTCTTCTGTTTTGGTGCTTCTATGTCTTAAAGTCCTGAAAAGCTGCTATTTTTCTACAGTATTTACAAAGTTATTGTATATTTTTTATTTGATTCTAATTAGAACAAATAAATAATACCTTCTAATTATTTTTTTTTTCAAGAAAAATTCAAAACCATTCATAATTCAGAGTTGTTTTTTTTTTTTTTGTTTTGTTTTTTTCCCACAGCAAGTTGGCAACTCCTGATGTTAGCAGGCGAAAGTGGCTGATACCAGGAGCAGAGTATTCAATCTTCACTGGCCAGCCCTTGGAAGTCCAGGAAAGCCCGAAAGACAACAGGCTAGAAGAAACCTATATTCCTTCAAGGTGAGCAGGTTTCCTTCAGTCTCCAATGTGATGTGAAGTTGAACAATTCTAAAACATAATTTTATTCAAAATTGACCAGATTCCTATTTCCAGACTTTGCTGCTAGTGCGAAGCTTCAGGTGTAGTTTCATTTCCCGGTAGTTTACCTTCTTCCTCAGAAGTTGCTAAAGCCTCTGTCAGTATTTGTTTACTTTGAAGAAGATGTCAAATTATCAAGCTTATCTCATATTTTGGATTCTTGGATTGTCTGTAACACAATTGTGTGAAGTTCTTGGCAGAAATTAAGAACAACTCTAAAAATCTTGCTTTGGCAACTGTAAAGCTCAAAATAAATTTCTCCCAGTTTTTCTGTTCAGCTTGCATTTGGATTGCTGAAATAAAGCTGGAAAAATTGATCTTTCTTCCTGCTTCTTTCTTTAAGGCATCATTCTCCTCCTGAAAAAGACTCCTCACAGGAAGACTCTTCAACAAACTCAATTGAAAAGAAAGAAAATGGGATGTCAGAAGCACCAATTATAAAAGCCTTCAAAGAACTTGGAGAAGGAAAAGCTTTTAAAGATTGGGGTACACAGACAGAAAAAGAAGACTCATCAGCTAGTAATTTTTTAATTTACTTTTATATTCCTAAACTTGTCTTTATGGGCCTTTCTTTGTTTGCATGTCTTTTGGTTTTGTTCTCATCATGAAAGCTCATCCATCTTCAGTGATGGGGTGAAATGAATGTGGTTTTTAGCATGCAAATTTCTGGAGTTTTCAGCATGCAAATTTCTGGAGTTTTCCTAAGAAAATTCAAAATGATACAGCTAAGGGGCTTGTTTAAAATAGAAGGAATGCAAAGGTTGCTGTTAGGTCTCAAGCTAGAGAGTAGTTGATGTTCTTTTTCTAAGAATAACGTAGTATTTATAAACAGTTAATGGAGTCCTAACAGAATTCTGGCTGGCTCTAAATCCATTTTAGTTTTGTTCCCATAGTGCTGTATCAGAATGTTATTATGAAAGCTGGCATATGTATTGTGGAACTGCACTGAGACATTCTAATAATGTTGATTTGGGAAGCCTTGTAGTTACAAAACATCGAGTCATTCTTAAATGCTTATGGTCTTGGTTCAGGCGGGTACTCCAAGCTTCTTAACCAAAATAAGCTTTTATCCTGCTTTTCGTTGTCTGTTATTTAACATCAATGTCCCTTGTGCTGCAAAGCACCCTTTCTCATAAGTTAATGAAACTATTTCGTGAATGTGATGGGCAGGAAATGAGTCTTAAGTAAAACAGCACAAATGTTTGCACGAGGCAGACTAAGTGCAATTGTTGTAAAAGCTGAGTACAAGAGAGTATCTGTGAGTTCTTGTATCAAAAAAGTATTGATCAATGTAGTCGCTTCTTGTTTTTAATTAGAAGCAACAACTCGACGTCAAACAGTTGGATTTGTTGAAACTTCTTGCATTGCTAACCGATCCCCAGAGAAAGGTAAAGACCAACAGAGACCGAAACGGTACAGCTCCCCTTGTGGCCAGAGGTCATCCTCCCTTCCTCCTTCAAACAGGAAATCAAATACTCCAAGTAAGTGCTCTTCTGAAGTTTGGTTCATATTTTTTGCATGCACGCAAGGTATATAAATAATGGAAGGCTGCTCTAGAAGAAAGAAAAATAAAAGTATGATTTCTGCATTATTCTAGTAGACAATATGGAAAAAAGCTCTAAAATCATAGAAAACACAGTAATTTCATTTTTCTGTATTGTGTTGACCTTTTCATATAATTTAAATAAACACATAGCTTTGACAAGCATTCTTTAAAGATGTAAACATAAGATCACATGAATGGGAAATACTGCGCAGAGAGAATTTTAGGTACTTGAATGTACTTTGTCTCTCACAGCAAGACGAGAGATAATGTTGGCGCCAGTGTCTGTGACGTACAGCCCAAAACGATCTCCAAAAGAAAACCTCTCTCCTGGATTTAGCCATTTGCTTAGCAAAAATGAAAACACAGTGACAAGGTATGAATTTTGTGAATACAATTGTGTTCTGATGATTGTAATAGCAGCAGTATGTTTATGCAGGCTTAATACTGTTCCTGCTGGTTTTTGTTCATTTAAAAAGTTGTGGAAAATCTGAGTCATGTGAAGATTTCTAAACATAAACCTAAGTTTTACTTCTTAAAACATGGCGAGAAAAATCTGGAATGCTTTCTGTAATCTAGTGTTTACCAAGGAGAAGTGTTGTGTTTATTGTTACGTATCTTGCAATGACATTGATCGGTGACAAAAAGGTTATAAAAGAATTGTTTTGTGGAGTAAGTCCAGATTTACAGGCAGCTTATCAGGAAATGTAAATAAAAGTTGAAACTAGTATCTACCTATTGCGTCATTTATAAACATGTTAGAAGATGCATAAGCTGAATTTTCTGGTAACCGAGCTATGTAATATGGTTTCTGTAGAGGTCTTTGCTTGGTAAAGGTTGTAGACTTTTAAAGAACACGCTTAGCTGCAAGATTAAAGTGTAGGACACATGTATGAGGAAGAAGAAATGTGTAGCACCTCTCTGGGTTTTGGGAATGACTGTGTGGGAGCTGAGTATGTTCGGGAGGGATGGTTTGGCCTATTCCAGAAGAAAGACACATGAATTTAAGCATTTTGGAAAGTGCAGTTGGGAGTGTATTGGGATATGGTACTACTATGGAAATTGTTTTATAAACAATTTGTTTATTTCCTACCTTTAACCATCTTGGTTAAATACTGCATCAGTTGATAAATCATTTCTAGTGAATAATTGTTGCATGCTTCTCATTCTGTAGATTTGATGTACTTCTAGATGACCTGGAAACTGGTCCTGCCTCTACTTTACAGCACAGTAATCCAAGAAAAAGGCTCCAGTTTCTCTCGCTAGATGATACAGAAGGTAATCCTCCAAAGCAGGGGAAAATGTTTCTTTGTACTTCTTTTATTGAGTTTATAAAATGTACTTTATCTCCCAACAGAAACATTTTTACCATAATTTCTTCCACATTGGTAACAGCTGTTTAAATAGAAAGCTGACATGTTACTCCATAAGGTTCAATTTCTAAAAATCCTCTATATCTTGTCTTATTACTGTAGATTGAGAAATACCATTCATACAGGATCTTATTTTTATGTATATGCGTGTGTGCACAAATGCAAAAGAAAAACAAAAATAATTAAATTGAGAAAGAAGGGCAATATGTTTCCCTATGCTTAACTCAGTTATGCAATGCATATCTTACTAGAGTCTATATTAAGATGTACACACTCAGTCAAACTAATAAAATTCCTATCTGTAATGCAATGTTTAGTAACAGAAAAAGTAAATATAATAAAGCCAGTTGTTTTAAGATTTTTTTTTAAATGATTGATTGAACCAAATCTTTCTAATTTTCTAATTCTTGTCACAATGTTCTGCTTTTGTTTTTATTAATGTAATTATTGAGATGGGTGTTTTCATGACAGCTAGTCTACATGGTGATATTTAGAAATGTTGAGCACAATACATTAATCTGTTTGTTAACAAAAAAAATATGCTGTGTTATAAAGATTGCTTGAAAGATGACCCATCCAAATGTTTTGCATTCTTCTGGGAAGTTTGCTTAAGGCAAGCTAATGAGGCTTTGCTACTTCCTATCATTTTATGTACCTCCAAGATCACACTGCTGTTCTTGTTTTTTTTTTCTTTTCTTTTCTTTTTTTATCGTTTTCTTTTTCTATCCTATCTAATAACTTAATAGACAATTACAAAACAAATAAAAGCAACCTGTTTTGTTGATAGGAAGGCAGCATTCAGGTGTCCGACATAGCTCTTGTGCTGAATCTGTCAATCCTGGAGTGAAGAAGGCAACAGCATGGGATGAGAGGAGCGTAGCACAGAACTATGAGCCATTGCTGTCACCTTGTGAGGGAGACTTCAAGTATGCACCGAGGATGAAGACTCTGGCTGAAACAGAGAGGCTTTTTGATGAGCTGACTCAAGAAAAGCAACAGGCAAAGATGATTTTTTATTTTAAAATTGTGACTAAACATAGTTATTGTATGAGAGGTGAGGGGTATAGCTGTATTACCTACCCCATGCATGGCTGAAGTTCATGCGTAATTTCCATCGTTAATGTGGGAACGTGCCATTATCATTCCCTGCTCTGCTTCTGACACTATAGTCCTTTACTGTTCCCAACTTTGTTAAAGGAGAGTAATTTTAACTTGAACACAGAGTGGATGGAAGGGTTGGAGTAAATTTACTTTCTTCTTTAATGGACAGTAGCTTAACTCAGCCTTTCAAACCAGGAAGGTTATTTTGGCAACTAAGAGTGTTCTCTTCAAAATGTTCCTTGAGTGTCTACTTCTACGATTAACTTTTATATTAGTTTGGTGTGGCATTGTGTTATGGTAACATAAGTTGTTGTTTAAGAACAACATTGGACATGTGTCTGTGGCTTATGTACCTCACCTCTCTGTAAGATTAATTAGGAAGGCTTATATTGGCTCTTGAGGCTCTAATTTACATCTGAAATATTTTCTGTTATTAGATTGAGGCTGCATTGAGTCGAATTCCTTGTTCTGCTGGAAGAATGACTTTGCAAGCAAGATTAAATCAGGTGCAAAAACTTTTACCTACAACTGTTCTCTTCAGTTGCTCTTCCACAATTTGAGGACACATAGTTTAGATGAAAGTTCAAATTTTGAAATTGATATAAGTGCAATTACTGCAATTACTATGGGAATTTTACCTTTCCACTGAGAGTTGTTCCTGAATATGGCTGAATTGCAAATCTGTTTAAAACGTCTCTAGCCTTTGAAGCATTAAAAGATAATGGGGAATTTACCTCAATTTAATCATAAATTCACTCTGAATTATCTTGTAAAAGGTATAAGTTAGTGTGATTTATGACAATAATTCAAAAAATAGTAGTTATATGTTTATGTATTTTTATTGGTGTGACTCCGAATGCCAAAGCCAAAAAAAAAAAAAAGGAATGGGAGCAGGAGGAAAAAAAAAGTCAACAACCCACAAATACACACACACACACATTAAAAAATAATATGAGAAATCTATAGGTCTGGCTCTAGTTTTTAGATGCTAACAGAATATGATAGCAAAATATCAGAAAGGATACTAAAAATACTACTAGATACTAAAGGAATAACAGTAGCATGTTAATTTTAGAAGGATCACTGGATTTTGTTGTATGTTATTAAATCCTTTTTTTTCCCCCTTTCTTTTTCTTTAACTGCTAGGAAGCCCTGGAAGATCGCTTGGAAAGGATTAACAGGGATTTGGGATCAATACGCATGACTCTGAAAAGATTTCATGTTTTACGTACCTCTGCAAATCTTTGACAATTCACTCTTGAATTCAAATAAGCTTTTTTTTGCACTAATATGTAATTATGCACTCAGTAAATGCAGAATTGTTTTGTATTTTTATAAACCCTAAATAGTAGTTTTACAACTATGTTACCCTTTACACACAGCAATATTTTGTACTTCAAACAGCCACCTATATTTTAAACATATTTTTGTTACTGTTGAGAAATTGATGTTTATCCTGTATTGTAATATTTTTAGAAATATTAATTATTTTTAAATAATGATATTCAATGTATAATAAGAAGAAACTAAAAGGCAGCTTGTTTTTGGAAAATGACCGTGTTATCTTTTTTGCACTTCATTTTCCTCACCATTTTATAAATATCTATGCTACGTTGTAAATATAGCTAATAGTAAATTTTGAATTTTCATACAAAAGGCAACATGAATTACCAGTGTTATAACTGCTGCTATATGGTAAATCCTTTTCTTTTAAGTCTTACAACTTGGATATTTTTCATTGTGACAAACAACTGTGAGGAATACTTACATTATGGCTGGCTGACTGCAAATTGGTATATGTTTTGCTGGTTTGGCCGCCTCTGGCTACCTTTGTAAAATACTGTTCTAAATTATTTGGTGTCTCCCAACAGTTCAGGGAGTAATTCTTTGATATCATGAGGACCAGAATTCGTGAGACTGACAGCCGCCAGCTTGCCTCCCACCAAGCAGCTCAACTCCAGCCGACACCGCAGGACGTGTAACTACCCAACTGCAGCTCCTGTTTTAAAATACTAGTTTGGGGTTTTGTGCCATGCCAGTGTTCTGACCGCAGTTATAAGCACGCATTTCCAAATGAAATCCAAGCTATTTTTGTGACCATACATGCATTTTTCTTGGTGAAAAATATGTATTTGCTAGCTGGCATGTTGTTGAATTACTGTTCAACATTGATATTTTAGTTTGCATTTTAATATTAAATAAATGTTTAATTAGATTCTTTCCTCTAGCCCAAGAACAATAATAGGTTCTGGGATATTACATCAGCGATAATGTAGGTTTTAATCATATTGTGTGTTTCAAATTCTGTCCTTGTTCAAGATGTTTAGCCACCAATTATGTGATTATTTTGCAGTGGAAAGGCCAGAATAGCTGTCATAAAGGAAGCTTGTGAAGGTCTGTTTCTAAAATTAGAGCGCTTTTGTTTTAAGATATTTAATGAAGAACTGTCCTACCCATGCAGTCTTTTTATTTTTTTTATATAAAGTGTTTTTTGCCTCCACTTCTGCCATGTGGGTTGCTTTTAATATAAGATGAGAATTGGTGAGAAGTCAAGGATGCTAATTACTCATTTTCCCTTTTACTCTAAAATGTTGAAATTGGGCCTGAATGCTTGGAGATGACTTGCTTGCATATACTTCCTGGCTACACCAATAGATTCAGAATTTTCATGGTATTTCATATTCTTAATTAACATTTTCCCTCAAAAGAGGGGTTGAGGAGAAAAAAAAAAAAAAAAGAACATTGACTTCCCAGTGCAACTCCAGTATTTAGCTGAACAAGTTATTTTTTCCATCATCTTAAATTATTAACAGGCAGAATTTAGAAGTATCCTTCAAAAGTAGCATTTTTCACAAGGAACCCATCACTAGAAAACTTACTGTGGGTCCATTAATGGTCTTGTTCTTTCATCAGCAAAAACAAACAGAACTTTCCTGACAAGCATTTGAAACAAGCAGGTAAATCGGTTCAGCTCTTTCCGTGCCTTTCCTTATAACCTCCCTTTACTTTCACTCCATTCTCTCCAGTGCTATTCATATTCATGTACTTTTTTATTACATCCAGAAAACTGAAGTGTGAGTCAGAATTTATTTTTTAATCAAAAGTCCTCCTCCATCTGTTGGAGCTCTTTAGGCTATTTCTGTTCTATTATAACACTGAAGGGAAAAAATAATATCTAAGTGTTGCTCTTCGTAAACTTCTAGGACAACCTTTTCAAATAAATGTCTGGCTTAGGGTGACCTGTTTCAGTATGGTGCCTTCAGCCTGATTCTTCAGAGGGGCAGAGAATCTGCAGTTCCAGATTAAATCAGTGGGAGGCCTGAATGCTTAGTGCTTCTGAAAATCAGACCTGGAGCATCACCAAAAAAAAAAAAAAAAAGTAAAAAAAATAAAGTGGGGCACGTTTGGAAAAGATGACTGCACTTGCTGTGCACTCTTCTGGATAATGTTTTTTAAATTTTTAAATTTTAAGACCTTTCAAAATTCTTTGCCTGAACACAACCATATTGTCTCTTTCCATTGCTGGGGATAAATAAGGCCTAGAAAAGCAGAAACTTTGTCTTCTTCTGAGCACGACTTTGTCTTCCTCTTGCATTCTTCCATCTGGCACCTCTCAGCTATGTAGACGTTCATCACCTTTTTGACCCTACTAGGTTTTGCTCAGATCTCCAGCTTTTCTCAGTCTCAGACTGACCTTGCAAGCCCTCCCATGCATAGTTTCTCTGTGAAGAGAGTTGCAGGAATAGTAACGTTTATTGAGATTTAACTCTTGGAAAATAGTCTCTTATTTGTCCCCTTCTATAGAAAACATTTATTAAAAAAAAAAAAAAAGTCTCTGTACCATTGATAACTTTAGTTACGATCTGCCTTCCACTGGGAACTTTATCTCTTAGTAAATAAAAAATTGATTAGAATTTACAGTGGCAATGCAGGTAGTCCTTACAAAAGAGAGTAAAGCCAATATGTTGGGCACCCAGGAGCACGGGTACCCTCCAGGGATGGGACCCGAGATGGAGCAGCCCTGGGAGCAGGTCCTGATGAGATGTGTGCAAGTCCTCGAGGCTGAGCCCAAAGCACGAAGCTGACGGCAGCTGAGGCTGATGAGTTCGGAATTACCCAGTGCTGACCAGCAGGCTGGCTGCTGATAATCACACCTGCAGCATGGAGAAGCGATGCACCCTTAAAAAAATCAGACGGGTGACAACACCTTCAAAGTTAAACCACCCCCTTTTTGCTGCCGTTTCTCCGAGATTTCCGAACGCGAGACATTGTCAAAACCGTGATTTTTCCCTCCGGCTTTTGAAGGGCCCGATACCCCAGGTGTAACCCCCAGCCCTAAGGGCCGCGTTCCTTGGTGTCCCCCCCCCTCCCTCCCAGCCCCGGCGGCTCGGGGCTCCCCGCGGCCGGCAGGCGGCGCCCCCCCCCCAGCCGCCCGCCGTGCGGGAGCTCCGGCCCGCCGAAGGAAGTGGCGGCTCCCCGCGGCGGGTGGGCACGGCTGGGGCTGGGGAGAAGAAGAAGCAAACCGTGCGGCAGGAGCAAGGGTGCAGGGGCTGGGGGGGGGGGGGGCTGAGGCTTTTCGCCTTTTTTCCCCGCCCCGCAGCACCGAGCCCGCCCGCCTCTCTTCCCCCCCTCGCCAGCTCCACGGCGGGTGAGGGAACGAGCAGAGCCGAGCCAGAAGCCGCCGCCGCTGTCGCTGCTGCTTGCTCCCGGCCCACCCTCGCCGTGTGTGTGTGGGGGGGGATTATGCCAGCGGAGCTCCGGCATGTCGGCACGCAGAGACCCGTAGGCAGCCGCCGAGCCGCAGCGAGAACCGCGGCCGGGAGCAGCCGGTGCGTGAGGGACCGGGGTGGGGGCACCGGCACCTGGCGGGCAGCGGGGCCGTGCCTCGCTGCGGGGGGGGGGGTGCTGGAAGAGAAGGGAGGGTGAGGAGGGAAAGGCCGGGCCCCAAGGGGGTGGCTGCAGCCTCTTCCCCCCCTCCACCAGGGGCTGGGGTGGCTGGGTTGGGTTCGGCTCCTCCCCGGGGCCTCGGTGGGGCTGAGGCGGCCGGTGGAGGAACGGCCCCTGCGGGCCGCGGGGTGCCCGGCCGGGGGCTCCCGGGGGTGCCGCGGGGTCTTGGGGCCGGGGATGGGCAGGGATGGGCCGCCTCGGTCGCCTCCTGCGGTCAGCGGGATGCTTGGGTGGGGAAAGTTTCCCCAATATTGGGATAAAGGAGAGGGGAGGGATGCGCCTGGCGCTGCAGCCATAGCAGCGCCGTGCCTCGGCTGTGGGTTGTTTCACGTGAAATTGATAAGCGAGCGTAACCTTGCTTGGACGCGGTCTCTGGCACATCAGGGCGGTTGGGTTGTGCCCCAGCCTTCCCCTCAGTGCTGGAGCCTCCCTTCACCTCAGCCCCCAGCCACCATCCCCCTGCCACGCTGGGTTGAGGGGCACCCTCAGCGCGGTGGCACGAAGCCGTGCTGGGTGTCAGGGCAGCCCTCGAGCACGCCAGGCACGAGGCCATAGCACGCCCCGTGAGGTGCTTCGCTCCGGCCATGGCCCTCCTCATCCTGGCTTCCCAATTAGCACTTCCCCAGGGCTTGAATTTACCTGAATTTAGTTACCAGGTATCGTGGAGTAGGGGCAGGGTGGTGGCAGCCCCACAACCTCCCAGTTTTGCGATGAGGGGAGGGTGAAGGCGCTGCCCATGCCGGCCTCTGCTTGTGGGGTCTGCCTCAGGAGAGCAGGGGCCAGACCTGCAGCAGCCGTGCAGGAGGAACACCTTTGAGGTAGAGCCCGCAAAAATCCTCATGGGTTTTTGGGCCTTAGGCACCCCCGATGGTCAGTGAACTGCTGGGGACATCGGGCAGGCTCCTGAGGCAGTGTCTGCACCAGAGAGGGTGGGAGGGAGAGGTTTTCCCTTTGGAACAAGCAGCGGTGCTGTTCTGTAGCCAGATGATGGGCTGCAAGAAGGGAGCTCTCTGCTGGGAGGCTGCTGGGCCTGGCGGTCCCTTGGTGCCTCTCCACCTGACAAAAAGGGCTCAACCTGACAAAAAGGGCCCAGTGTTGGTGCCCCTGAACAACCCTGGGCTTGGTTCTGGAGCATTCGTTGCTGCCCCGTGCCAGCAGGCTACAGCATGAGCAGTTCTCACTCCCTGCCCAGCTGCAGGAGGGTTAATGTCACTTCCTTCACCTCCCCAACCCCTCTTGCTTCACTGAAGAAGCAGAAGCACGGAGGAGCGTGCCGAGGTGCGTGCTGGGCTGCAGCATCGTGAGCAGAGCCAGGAGCGAGGAGAGGAGCCCATCTCCTGGTGCAGAGCAGTGCCCTGTGCAGTCAGCCACGCAACGCAGTCCGATCAACGCTTTATGTTGAAATGCTGTGGTTGAGACAAAGTTTATTCAAATTGTGCACTTAAAAAGAAAAACCACACAAAAACAACTTCTTCCTCTGCTAATAACCGCTCTGAAGTAAGAACTTCCATCTTCTATATGCTCTGGAAGCAGCAAAGTAGATAATGTGGTGCCAAAAAACATCTTAAGTCTTTTGAAGACATAATCTGCAAATGCTTGGCTCTGCACGGGACAGGAGTTCAGTAGGACAGTGGTCACAGCTCAGCTTTCACAGGTATTGTGACTTAAATGGGCAGTGGTTTGGTCTCGTGTTGAAACATACATAGTTTGTAGGGCTCCTTTTGGTGTACTGATTCCCTCCCCATGCCTTGTCTTTTTGCTTGCGCTGTATTTTTATCGTGTAGTTTATTTTTGTCGTGACTGTGTTGTGCCCCCGAGTAACACAAGAAGTCTGCCTGTGTTACAGAGTTCAGCGCTGGCTTCTGAGTGATTTTTTCCACTGTTGAGTAGGAGGCTGGTGTTTGTAGGACAGCCTTTCCTGTCCTTTGCAGACCTCGTGCCTGAGACGTTCGAGAGAGGGCTGCGTAGCTGCCTATTCTGACAGGTCACCAGCTCCTCGGCTTGGCCCTGGGCTGCTCGCTACCTGAAACACCTCCCTGGGATACACAAAATTAGGAATGACCAAGCATGAAAGCGTGGTTGCAGACTTGTCCTAGCTTGCTGTTTTTCACAGGAATGCTGCTTTGTCGTCCTTGCGATGTGTTCTGCTTGTGGCAGCATCTCCGAGAGGGATGGGAAATGAGCAAGGGCTGAAAATGCCGCTTGTTGTGCTTCTTGCTTTTGATAGAGCAGGCTTCTGGTAGGCTGTTAGATTTCATTAATCATATTTAAGTTTCTGTCACTAACTTTTAATTAAAAGCATGGTTGATACCACTTTAATGAATGTACGGATGTTAGCCATCTTCATGCATAAAAATGCGTTTTAATTCCCTTACTATTCCCTTTATGGCCCTTAGATGCTTTTGTTGCCATTTAAACAGCATACAGTAGCAGCTGTTTATCTTCTTAATATAACTTTTTCTTGCATCTGTGTTCAGGAAACAGTAATGGTTTGAGTAAACAAATTTCTGGTATCCTTTAACAATATTTTTAAGTAACTTGGCAGAAAGGGTC